TGTTTATTGAACACTTATTAATTTCTGCAGCTTGAATCTCACTTTTTATTCATTTACCTGGTATCCTAAGCGAGTTTCCTTTATGCTAATTCAGGGAGACGTGGCAGAACGTGTTTTGCATATGCTACAGGGAAAAAAGTTTATTAAACATCATCTGTTCCGTTGTCCTAAACAACCCAATGCTGCTTCTATTTATGTATAGCTCCATCAACGCCAAAAAGCTCTTCGTTACTTGCACAGTAATGATTGCTACTTAATTCTTCAGCTGTTCCAATTTTCTTCCCATTCCACCCTCTCTAAAAACACCAGAAAACCTGCTCTTGTTAATATCAACATTCAAAACAATCCAATGCATTTCCAACTGTTACACAAATGGAATAATCCAGACTCCAAAAGTCTAAGCCCTCACCTGACAGTGAGTCTGTGGGGATTAGGTTCAAAGCTTTAGATGAAATATTGCAGGGTATGCTTACTTTTTTAAAGTATCACTCATCTTGGAGAAGCTGGGCCTGAGCTGTCTAGCTGGATAAATACCTCAAAATAGCAAGGAAAGCAAAAATGTTACATCACTTTAGCTTCCATGAGAAACAGCTGATGCCAAAGTCGTATGATACACATTTATAAGGCTTGTAAATAGCCAGCTGACTAGTCACCTGTGGCAAGTAAGAATCCCACTGAGGCAAGTGGACAGTTGAGGGTAAAGCAGTTTTTAAGGCCACATATAATATGCTTAAGTGTGGGCTAGTTAAATTGTATATGCTAGTAAATGTTGCAGACTTATTTGCAAGGCAGCATTAAACATTCAATTGGGAAAAATAGCTACATGTGTATTTTACAGTAAACTTTCAAATTTGCTTTCAACTGCGCAGCTACCACTGAGAGGCTCCCTCAATATTCACAAGTTAGCTCCAGTAAAGCATAACAGGTTAATTAGTTTTTAAAAGGTCTTTCAAGTCATGGTTCACACATAAAGCAATCAAAAGTACTCATTCAAGCTCTATTCAACAGGAAATGAAGCAGAAAGTCTAGCAGACATCTACCAGAGACAAATGGCAGATTCTTCATGGGCTCACGTTATCTGCTGACCTTCATTATGAAGACAGAGGATCAATTTAGACCCCCCAAATTAGCATTCACCTATCATTTCCCAACTTGACCCTGGATTAGAAAAAATGTGGTCACCCACTTTTGCATATTGAGACACACTTGAAAAAAAGATCTAGATTCACAGTGCTACTAATTTAATATGCCCTTTTCAGTGTACATAAATAGCAGCTATCATTTAAGACAGGTGTTTTGCTTTCCAGAGCAATTATAATTTTCCTCAAATCAGTGAACTACTACTGCTTTTTGAGAATATTTTGGTCACACAGGTGTACACTTCATCATTTGCCTGCCCTAGTCCTGCAACACTTGTGCCTGATTTTCCACTGTTTGCGATATTGTTTGCTATAAGGCACCTCCCTTGCATAAACTTCCACCTTGGCCCTTTTGCACATATGAGTTCCCATTTATGAACATACAAGCAGCCCTGCTGGGTCACACCAAAGGCCTATCTAGCACAGCATCCTGTTTCACACAGTGGAAACACAGATGCCTATAAAATGCCCACAAGCACAGCAACAATCTCCTTCTATAGCAATTTATCCATTGGCCAGTGTAAAAAATGCATGCTTGACTCTTACGGTTAAGAACCAGAAAGGTGTTTATTCTAGGCTGCCCTAGCACATTATGCTGGAAACTCTTCTATATTTGGAAAGCTTATGTAATTTTACTGTTTTTTATGCTTTTGGTTGTATCTTTTGTACTTATATTTTTCTCTCATTTGCAAGCTGCCCCACAAACTAATTTCGAAGGGCAGTAGAGAAATTTAATAAAATAAAAGATGCTTAGAACAAACTGCATTCCCCTTGCTGGGCTCTTGTTAGGTCTCCACCCAGCTTGGAATAGGATCATTGTAGTACTGTCCACGCTTATCAGAGGAAAAGAAAAGGTCTTATTTTTGGTATCGTTTCCTTCCCCTGCCACCAAGTCTTGCCTTGCTGTGCGAAATAGTGCCAAGGGGAGTTGCCACTCAAGAATGGAAGTGGCAAAGGAAGATACTTTTCCCTCCTTTCTCCTGAAACATTCCTGAATAATACATGAAGGGGAATTTCATTTCATGGCACATATGCTTCCCCCAACCCCAACTCCTCCTTCCAAGATCCTGTAAGCTGTTGGTGTTTGAGAAGGTCAAGTCTCTTCCCATCCCCTTCCACCATCCTCCAGGTAACATCCAACTGCCTGCATCTAAGCTGACTGCATGAATTTCTATCAAAAGTAAGAGCAACTAAATTCTGTATAAATAATGTATGCATATTAAATATATAGGCAAGTGGAATCAAACGTTCTGCTTGCACATTTTGAAGCATTTCTGCCTGAAAAGAGGGGGTGGCTCTCTCATCTGTAGCTTGTTTTCACCTCGAAAGAACACTCAATCTAAGAGGACATTCTGGAGCAGTAGGAAACACAGCAAAGAGCAATGCTATATATTGAAATTAGCATGGGGAAGAAATGATCTCCTTGTGCATGAGCAAAAGAGCTTATTTTTCCACTGGTGAATCTTTGGATTCAAGCCAAAATTAACCCTAGCCAGGTCCCCTATGGTAATAGGTAAAAAGTATCTACCCGGCAAAGCCACAGAAATCATTTATCCTTGGGTTGACAAAGTCACATTATTCCAGTTTAGAATCATACAATCAGACTCATAGAATTGTAGAGTCCCAAGATATCTAGTCCAATCCCCTAGAGTGCAGGAATCTCAACAAGAGCATCCATGCTAAATGACCACCTGTCCTCTGCTTAAATACCTCCAATGTGGTTTTATTAAATAGTTTTATATAGCACTTTTAACTGCACAAAGTGCTTTTCGATTATTACAAATCCTCACAAAATCCCATTTACAGAAAAGAAAACTGGGAGCATGCATAAAAAACATAAAGTCCTGCTGGATCAGAACAAATGGGTATCTAGTCCAGCATCCTGCTCTTACTCTGGCCAAGCAAGTCCTTCAGAACAAGGACCTGATTGCAACAAGATACGGACACTACTTAATGACCTTACTAAATGGCTGCTTTATCACACACACTATTAGTGAAATCATTAAGTTTTAATACCCTGATACAGTACAGTATCAGGTACAGTACTGATGTACAGGTACATACAACAGTATAGTAGTTGTATGATACCATACATTAATAATTTCCAGTCAAACATAATTTGTTAATACAGTGGTACCTCGGCTTACATACGCTTCAGGTTACATACGCTTCAGGTTACAGACTCCGCTAACCCAGAAATAGTGTTTCAGGTTAAGAACTTTGCTTCAGGATGAGAACAGAAATTGTGCTCCGGCGGCGTGGCAGCAGCAGGAGGCCCCATTAGCTAAAATGGTGCTTCAGGTTAAGAACAGTTTCAGGTTAAGTACAGACCTCTGGAACGAATTAAGTACCTAACCCGAGGTACCACTGTATAAGCAACTGCTACCGTGAATCACTATTAAGATGGTTACTTTCTGAGCCGTAGAAAGCTATATAGCAGGCATCCCCAAACTTGGCCCTCCAGCTGTTTGGGGACTACAGTTCCCATCATCCCTGACCACTGGTCCTGTTAGCTAGGGATGATGGGAGCTGTAGTCCCAAATCATCTGGAGGGCCGAGTTTGGGGGTGCCCGCTATATAGCAACATGCAAGTAGCCAAGTCAAAGGGAAGACCTGCTCAGAGCAGTTTTACATTATGTGCATTAATATATTTTTAACAATGCTTATCCAGGTGCCTGGTGAGATTCTTTTACTTTTTTAATACAACACAGCTCTGGGACATTGGGTGGATGGGAGGGCAGCAGATTAGTTAAGAATTGTAAGACTGCATTGAAGAATGCTGGAGGCCATAAAAAGTCATTTTATAGAAAGGTCTAACTGGCTGTTATCTGTCAAGTGAGTTCCAGGCAATGTTCCATGTTTTCACTCACTTGCCAAGACTCCTGGTGAGCATGATTAGCCCAAGCATTCCTCCCAACCTTGGTGCTGCAGAGGTGGGTGAAATCATCTCAATAAATGCACAGCGATAGCTGCCCTCCCCCTCAGCTCCATGTTTTGGAGGAAGGGTTGGAGTTGTTTAGCCACAACACTGTGGTAGTGACCTGAGAAACTCTACCAAGCAGGGACACAGCAAACACCTCCCATAATTTGCTGTTCCTTGATTGCTCTGCATCTGAAGCTCCCAGAGTGGCCCAACAACTGCACCAGGAAGAGGAGGGGGCGGCCAATCAAGGCCGGCAAAAAACCCTGAGCCTCTACTTCCATGCCATCCATGAAATGGCCTTGAATCCAGTGCTGATCCAAGCATGTTTGCTGCTTAAAAAAGAAAAGGGGGTGGACGGATGGGAGAAACAATGCCAGGCACCAGAAGAAACATTTGTGTTTTTTATTTATTTAAAAAGACAAACCATGTTTTCTTCCGATTTCAAAAACAAGACAGGGGAACAAGAAGATGTTTTGTGAGTTGCACGAAGGCCAGCCAATTATCCCCAAAGCCAGCTCCTGCTGGAAACTGGTTGCCCCCCCCCCATCTTCAACCTCCAGAAGGAGGCAGCTAAGGAGCCAGGAAAGGCTTAAAGCTGTGTTCGTATTTATGCACCCTTAGACACTTTGCGACACTAGTACTACTGCTTATTTGTGGGATTTTAACACTCTCAATCCAGTGGTTCAATGTGGTCGTAAATAACTCATCACAGTAAAAGTCATAAAACCAATATAAACAGTGTAAAAAGGTGGAGGCAGGTAGTCTACATTCCACCATCACTGGCCAACAAAAGCAGAAACCCAACAAGCTCTCTTAGTCTTAAACATACAAAACATGGGTTCAAATATATTTCTATGGGAAGGCTTGTTTTTATACTACACTGTTTAAAAAGATCCTTTGATGTTCAAATGAGCAAAATTAAAGAAATACAGTAATACCTCTGGTTACGAACCGTCCTCCTTGCGAACGCTTCGGGTTATGGGATCCGCTAACCTGGAAGTAGGTGCTCCTGGTTGCGAATTTTGCCCCTGCATGCGAATGGAAATCGCACGTCCGAGGCGTGCACGCAGCGCGAGTCCCCATTAGTGAAAGCGCGCCTCAGGTTAAGAATGGTTTCGAGTTGAGAATGGACCTCCGGAACAAATTAAGTTCGTAACTAGAGGTACCACTGTAAGGCACAACAGGATAATGTGTGGAATACACGTGGATATATAGCCATATCCAAAGAGCAAAGATGTCAATGCACTCAACACTCTTCTGATGAAGCAGTGGCCATGGGATGTTTGAGTAGGTAACAAACAGTTTTGTTGAAATCTGCCTGATTGCCTCTGTTAGACACCTGGACAAAAGAGAAATTTAATATACTCAAGTTTGCAAAAGAAACAAAAGAGGGAGTATTGGAAAAGACAAGGCATTCATGCAGGAAGTAGCTTTTGACTGTTTTAAGCCACAAGCTGGTTTAAAAGACACACACAACAAAACTGGCACAAAGTTTGAGAGATGAAAACAGATACTCAAAATCCTTCCAAATCATTCTTATACATTGCATACCAGCTCTAGAAAGCAACATGATATGCAGTTTCAGCAGTTATAAAGCAAAGCTACCCAGGTGCTAAAACATCATTCCAACCCCAAACCAAGCCTTAAGTAAATAGAATTACAATTGTCAATGAATTTGAAACCAACTATGCATTAAAACCAGTTGAATATTATATTGTAATGTCTATTCCAAGACATGTATTTTAGGTTGTCTTAACACTCCTAGGCCAGACCTGTACTGCTATTAAACACCTTCACAGGTAGTAGATAGGGCAATTTTTAAAAAAAACAAATGAACAGTAGAGCAACTTTCAGTGGAAACGCACTGTGAAATATGAGGTACCGAACAACAAAAAGTCAGAAAGTCAGTTCCAGGGCATGGTGGAATTAGCTGGATGCTATTACTATACATTAAATATTCACATTACCCAGGGGTGGAGGAAGGGATTGGGGGGGTGCGGATCTCCCTGGGTGTCACCACTGAGGGGGATGACAAAATGCTGGGCAGCACTTGCTGTGGGGCCTGCAGGGAGTGACGTGGTGGCTTGGGCGCATGCAGGCTCCACGCTGCCCAAATGGTCTGCCGCTGCCTCCCCACCCCCAGCTATAGGGTGGCTGAGTGGGAGGAGGCTGGCAGACTCCGGAGGCCCCACGGTGCCCCCACACCGATGGGCCCCAGGTGCCCAAGCAGCTTCCTCCTCCGCTGACATTACCTCATGATACTGTGAAACAGGTAGTCAAATAAACCCCTATATTTGTTTTCTTGCAACCCTGTTCCAGCAGAAAGAAGACTGAAGTGGCAGACTATGTTCTTGCAAACAGCAACAATCTAGCCAGGCTCAGAAATAAGGATTAAGTGGTCAATTAAGCAATGTAAAATGCTACTGAACATACCATAAAGCAAGAATGTACCTGTGCACTGACTGATATTTAGCTGCCTATATTTAATTGCACTGTGGCATTATTCAAATAGCTAAGGCTTGAATGTGAGCTCTTTGCTTCCCAATGTTGTTGTCAGCATCCGTTTGTTTCAAGAGACAATGTAGTGTGCCTCTGGGGATGAGGTCAAACCACTGCATTAGCAGCACCGAAGTGACCTCCCTGGGGTTCAAGCCTGGGCAGTGTGTATGGACGTCATGGTCTGCCCTGACGAGATCCCCCTCTCAGTCTCACTGATTTGGACCAAAGGAAAATGGATGGTGCAAATCCCCCCAATTCAGCCTGCTATCAGAAACGATGCAACTTTCATAGGAATGCATTCTGGGGGTGTGATTGCTAGGGCAAAACATCACTTGCCCTACTTGGCTACCTGTGGAACATTAGCAATACTATACTGTTGTTATGCATGGAAAAATTTTCACTCCGTGTAAAGTAGTTGGACAGTAAACGCACAGACATTTTAGAATCATTTAAGAATAAGAACTGCATATTTTTTTCATTAAAAAAACTACCCCCCTTATTTGGCAGCATTCACAAAAGTTTGCATATGTAAAGCTAATGAAACCCAAAATTAATATGTCTAACTGTCTTGACAGGTATCAAACCTTTCCCCATGGGAACAAATTACCAAGAAAAATACTAGCCTTGCAATGTTTATAATTGTTTACATTTTAAGTTTCAGCTTATGTTTCAATACATAGAGAAAAATCTATTTTATATTTATGTTTCCAAATCACAACACCTATTCAAAGTCACTATCGTCAGAAACACCTTCAATCCAAACTGCTGGATTAGGAAACTTTTATTCATTGGTACAATTCTGACACATCTATCAATCAGTGCAAGGTAGCTGAAGACATAAAAGGAGCATCTTCTTCCTTGGAATGTCATGTGGTTGAAACTATACTGCACTGCCTGCAGAATATTACCTGTCACCCAGATGATGGCAAGCACCTTGTCTTCTAAATACAGTGGTACCTCGGTTTAAGAACAGTCCTGCTTACGAATGATTTCGTTTATGAACTCCACAAAACCGGAAGTATGTCCCGGTTTGAGAACTTTACCTTGGTCTAAGAACGGTGGAAGGGCACTGGCGGTGGGAGGCCTCATTACGGAAAGCGCGCCTCGTTTTAAGAATGGTTTTGATTTAAGAATGGACTTCCGGTACGGATTAAGTTCATAAACCAAGGTACCACTATAGTATAGCTATTGAAGAATAGTTCAACTGATCTTCAGTTGGCAGGTTGGTCCAAGTCTAAGGTGTGTTACAGTAACCACCATACACATATATGGTAAAAATTAAGAGTTGTGCCCCTAAATGCATGTTTGGGTTAAATATGGTTCCTGAGTTTGAAAAGGTTGAGGACTATATTCTGAGTGCTATAGCCAACTGTAGGGAAGCAGCCATCATGTGAAATGGAAGGAAATTAGCCACAACTTGGAATAATACAGCAAATGGAATCTCCGTTCCATACACGTTACCAGAGCCAGCCAGCCAGACAACACACTCCTCCCTATATTTGTATGAAAATTGTGCTACCAATGATGGATGGCATTAGTGCCACAGAAATGCTAAATAGCAAAATTGTTCCTGTTGTACTAAATATTGTCTGTTCACAATCCTTGGGGAAGACGCTATCCAATAATGTCATTTCCAGCTGTGTTACCTCGTTCACATGAAAAGTACTCATTAGCAATCCTAGGAGCAAAGGAGGAATCTTCTTTTAAAGCCTTCACACTATTCTGTTAGGACACATTTGCTTGAGTATACTGGATCTGATATTATTGGGCAGCCTATAATGCACTTTGACAGTCAACCCCTTGCCCCTGCCTTGTGTGAACAATTGTACATGAATGCTATGAGATGCATTAGCTTAAATAAAATGAGAGGGAGCACTGCATACCTATGCATATTTGTGAAAGAAAATACACAGGATTCTGTTCTCAAAGGTTCTTTATATAGGGGAGACCATGAGCTTGTTTGGCTGGTCCATTCTGTGTAGAATTTATCTAGCAGGACTGAGTGTGAATTAGTCATCTTTGCTGTACACAAAAAAAGTGTTCTGTTTTCTATGGCATGTTTAACGTAGCACATTAAACACACTTATGTAGGCAAGAGAATAAATGTCACTGTTTACAGTCAGATCTCAGATTCTGTATGACAATTCCTAGGCAACAACTATTCCCTTTAGCAAAATTGCATACAATCAGGATATTTAATTTAAAGGGTTTAAAAAAAGAGTAATTGACCATTATTTTTTGTAAATGAAACTAATAATCATATCACTGTTTCCTACATATGCTTAGAAACCAATCTGTTTTACACAGAACCATCAGGTTTGAACTGCTGAGCCTATGGAGAATCATCCATAGTGATCATCCTTCTGAAATTTTCCCCAATTGATGTTGCTATAGTGCAGCGAGAACATAGATCAAAATAGCTAAACACATCAACTAGCTCAATACATAGTGTTTAAAGCTAGCTGTGAACAGAGTTTAGCAGAAGACCAGTAGCTGGTGTGTTTGACTTGTATTTTCAAACTGCTAGAGAACAGTTACCCCATCCCCCATAAGCCACTACAATAGTGTTATGATAAATGTGGGATTACTACAAGTTGACCCTGTGGGCTTTGTTCTTCCTCTCCTGGGCACACCAAGTGAAAAGATTTAAATACACATCTGATTTCACAAGCATTCAGGCTCAAAGAATGTGGTGAAAGTGAAGTCATACACAGGGCATTTGCAAGCTCTCCTGTGTCAAAGGTTGTTAGTTTTTCAGCTGCCAAGTAAAGTTTGATATGGGTCTGTCAAGTCTCTGTACGCTACATATTTTGGCAAAATATTGATTTGGCAACCAAAACTTGCTGTATTTTTCTCTGTAACAAAATTAAGATGCCACCAGCTTGTGCAAGTACTAGCAATTAGCCTTCAAACTAGTTTTAGATCATTTATAAAATGTGAAATATTATTTAGTAAACAGACCTTTCTGAATTTGGGCTTTCAAAAAATTAATATATTATTGGAAGTCCAAGAAACAAAAGTTTGTTTCAGGATCAAGTGGGTAAATGTTTAAAATTCTAATACCCAATTAGAAATGGTCTTTCATATGCAATGGCAGCCAAAGATTTTATGTGACACTGCAGCAAGAGGGGAAAAAACTTCCATAAAATGTTAAATGCATGATATCTCACTCCTTGTAGGTTACTATTTTAAAAAATAAACTTTCTACTGCATTCTGCTGGCAATGTGTCAGACCAGGCAGATTTTAAGTATATTCGGTGTGACTTCAAAGAAGTGAATATTTCAGACTGAAGTTATAAAGATGAATGAAAGTACAGCACACAAATGAAAACTAAACTGTGTGGTTACATTGTTGGAGAAACTGAAATGATAAATTGAAAAAAATAAAATAAAGATAGTAGGAAATATTAGCTGCAGCTGGAATATTGATTGCTAATTAATAGAAAACCCAACAGTTACCATCAATCAATATGTGGGAGCAAGCAACTTGGCACAGAAGATTAGTGTATAAAACATACAAGAAATCCCCCCCCCCGCCAAAATAGTAGCAGCACATTTTGAAAGATCTTTAGAGAGTCAGAGCTATGCATCTTTGAATTTACTGAATGTCCAACACAGAAATATCAGAAAGGCCATATTGGAAATATGTTATATATGCGTGATAAATATTAAATAGCAGCAAAACCAAAAGTTATTAAACAAAAGATTATGACTTCTGGTGAGGATTTTATTTTTTGCAATTAGTCCCTTCTATTTTTGTTATGACTGTAAAAGTCTCTTTGGCAGTACTGTATGTTAAATATTATGATGAAATCTGAAATATAAAAATTGCAGTAGCTG